AAAAAAAAAGTAACAAAAAATGTAAGAAAGAGTCATTGAAGGGAAAATCCGGTCCAATGACTCAGCTAAAGGGACTGATGTCCAGTCTAGCATACGCTAAAGGGACTGATGTCTAGTCTAGCATTCGCTAAAGGGACTGATGTCTAGTCTAGCATTCGCTAAAGGGACTGATGTCTAGTCTAGCATTCGCTAAAGGGACTGATGTCCAGTCTAGCATTCGCTAAAGGGACTGATGTCCAGTCTAGCATTCGCTAAAGGGACTGATGTCCAGTCTAGCATTCGCTAAAGGGACTGATGTCCAGTCTAGCATTCGCTAAAGGGACTGATGTCCAGTCTAGCATGCGCTAAAGGGATATTTATCCGGCCTAGCACAATCGTCTCCAGTTCTAATACTGATGAGTGATGATAACGTAGTAGTTGTGGTAAGCTGAAGGGTTAACCGAACCCGCACAATATTGAAAGCTTTTGTTAAAGGTTATACTAGATAGAGATTAGAAATGCCAGGATGATCGAACGGGTTGTTATCTTATTCCCAGATGCTCGGAAAACGCTCGAGGACGAGCGTACGTCAGTATGGCCGTGTCGGCGCCGCCGTCATTATTTTGTAAACTGCGAATGTAATGGGCGAGCAGTGAACAAACAACTGACCGACGTCACTTCAACCCCACCACCGAGTGATATATAAAGCAACGCAAGCGCAAGCTCGAGTCAGTCGTTCGTCGATCGTTGCCCAGTTCACACGTTACGCAATCGCTGAGTAATTTTATTGTTGGTTTTATTTGAGTGTTTCCTTTATATAATCAGTGCTGAATTATTCAATTATTATAATTAAAAATTAATGTGAAAGTAAGTTCATTTAATCGAAATAAACTAAGTGATTGTGTGAAGCCCTTTGTTTTATTTTCAAATAATGTCGGACCCTGATCCTACATACACATGACGGATAAGAGTCGGCAGGGAAAACCAAATAGTAATTTACTACACCGTGGTGAGGTAATGTTTCCTCAAAAAGTTGTAAAGACCATAGAATAGTATAGAAAATAACGAGAAATGAAATGAAACCTTTATTTGTGATACATAGGTAGGTACATCTGGTTGGTCATTTTTAGATTAAAGTGATGATGATCAGCCTATTATAGGCATACAAACAAATACTCGTCTAAGAGTTTAAATCAGTAAATCCATTAATTAGTTAGATAAGTAAATATGAATGTGTCGTGTTTTAATAAATTACATGTAAGAGAAGACGTTATCCTCACAAAGAAGTAAAATATGACACATGAAGAATCTATCTATTCTATGTAACTAAGCACTGAAAGGACCTACCTAAACTTAGAAACTATAAGCCGCCTAATGATATCTACTTAGTTAATGACTAATTTTTGGAAACCATTCGCAATGAGTCGGATACAATACCCTTCCCACGGTAAGGTCAATTATCATAAGTACCTAATTAAGAAGGGTCGCAGTCACTGTTATTTGAGGTATTCTGGACAACCTAAAACTACTTATACCGTAGGTACGGTATAAGTAGTTTTAGGAAACTATTAGAAACTAAGAATTCAATGGCGAAATTAGATTTGATACAAGACCTGAATTTTTTGAAAGTAAATATAGTGAACTAAAGTAGGTATGATACTTAGGCACACCATTTTGACATAGAGGTAAATTTTAATAGTAGGTAGGTACCTATTAGCGGCAGTAATAAAATATATAAGAAGTGTTGAGTATGAGTGTGAAGATTTGAGTAGTAGCTTACTACTAGTGTCGCCAGGTGCGCCGATTTACGCGAGACATCCCTGTTTTCAGGGGTCTGGAGACGGTTCCCGAACTGTAACTGATCGAGACGCCAAATGTTCCGATAAATCGATGAGATGAAAAACAAGAATCATTATAAAAAAATTACACATCACATCAGAATAGCGCTCAGTTTACTTTAAATGGAGTGTGTATTTTGAGTGATTATATCAACAAATGAAGTAAGTATGGCTTTAACAAGATAATAAGGCAATCGTGTTTCCTAGTAGGTAGGTACCATATTATCCCAGTTAGAAGCACTGGACTATGGAGGTCTAGCCGGTTTGAAAAACCCCGTCAGTATTTGGTACGGCCTTCGTGCTTCTGCCTTTGCGTTTTGAGGAGTTGAGGAGTGCTACGAGGAATTGTTTGATTTCTGATCTCTGTCGCACTTTCATTCTCTTATGAACTCCTAATAATCTTATTACGAGTTCACAAATGTGCAGTTTCTCAAAACTTTCTGCCTTACACAGCAAAATTTTGAAATAAAGTGACTGGTGGTACTTCCGCATCGAAACAACCTTCATATGTTCAAAAAAAGGGCGTGCTAAAAGGATGAGAAGCGCTGATCGCTTAAACCATCAAATACGATAACCCTGTTTAATTGTCCGCTTTTCTAAAAAAAGAAGGAAATTAATTCGGCGTCGTTCCTAAAACATAATCCATACATTTCGTATGTACTTATATACAGACATTAAAATAAGTAGGTACCTACTTGCGACACGGTACCTATAAAAACCTCTTTAATTTTGGTTTGTCCTGATTTACGACCCAAAATCCCGACTTATTTTACCTTATACGTACCGATTTAAAACAAATCGGACCTGGCAACACCAGTTTCTACCTACCTTGTCTCGTTAGTAGATACGACAAATACCTATTTAACAATTAAATACGGTAAATATCTGATCAGAACAGCTGGACTTACATGAATACATTGCTTCATTCATCTCGTGGATCAAAAAAGTACAGTTTACCAATTACTGCCACAAACAATTTCTATGTAGGATTAAATCATCGGTTATAGGAAATACAGGTACCTATTGGTGTTATGAATTTTTAAATCCTTAGTGCACAATCATAAAGTACCAATATAGGTGTAATGTTAGGTATTCAGATCGCACAAAAAAATTAAAACAAGGGCGCGAAACGTTGTTTATTTGCTTACGTCATGCAAAATATTTTTGGTTGTTATGTTGGTAGAACTGAAAACCGCAGCGTTTCAAGTCAACAATATCGATATTTTAAGCATTGTTATTCACTAAATAACCAATAAAATTTAGTATTATATTTTTATTTAATATCACCATTTGATGTTAAAAAGCTATTAAAAGCCAAAAAAATATATGAATGAAAATCAATCACGGTGATTATAGAAATTATTTTTTTAAAATTGCAGTTAATAAAACACAACAACCTGTCAAAATTATTGCTGTCAAAATTGTCAAATAGTTTATTTGACAAATCGAATTTATTCAGTCAAAAGGAAAATGTTATCGGGTTTGTGATTAAAGTTCCCATTATTGCAATAATATGAAAGTTTTTGGTAAAGATAACATGTGTACTCATGAAGATTATTGAGCGACATTATTAATGGCCGATTTACCGAATGGCTGGGTTCAGCTGGTAAGTTTACCCGACCCTTCCTATTTATTTAATCGGGATCCGATTCATAGTGTTTCGCACTTGTTTGTATGCCTGCATTGTCTTCCTTGAACTCTATAATTGGATAAATTGTCCAATTGAACGAGCAAAGTACTTGCGTTTGTTTTCAGTTTCAAATGCAATCCTTGTGTAAATGTGTACCTATTATTGCAATAGATTTATTTAGTTTGTTCAGTTTAATAGTTGCCCTAATTTAATCCTCAAGAATATATTAAAAATATTTGTGTCTACTTCCCTAATATATTTTTAGAACTTATAATGAGAAAATTTTTACCTTTGTATCGGTTAAATGAGTTATAATTTTTGTGTAGCTTTTATTTTACTTTTAATTAATAATGTGTTTATTTGTTGCAGGTACCTTTCTGAAGGCTTCCAAGTTATTATTGAGAAGTCGAAGGACGCAAAATGCTCTCTAAAAGATATCCAATTGCGTTTCTTGTGCCCTGATGACCTAGAGGAGGTTTGTATTGCAATTATTCATGACCAAAACAATAATTTGACCCTGTGATCATTTGACTTGTTAATTTTAACAAGTGATTTTGGAACATACACAATGCTCTACAAATTAGAACCACAAACCTTTACTCTTTGCATTTATTTACTATATTTATTTTTAAACTTGTAGTCATGCAGCTAAACAATTTAGTGTGATTCTTAATTTAACATTTACTATTACATTTACAGTATTTGAAATCAGTTGTCTAAATTATATTTTCCCCTTGACTAATGTTATTATTTCGCAAGTGCCTTGCATGACTCAGTTACATGTTCACATATCTATATGGCTAATGTCTGTAATGCACAATAATATGAACTATTACATCACTAATTAAATATCACCATGTTCAAATACAAAACTAACTGCTTCCTCACATCCGATTCCTCGGTCAGCCAAAGTATTACTCGACTCGACATCTCAATCCATATTTTATGATGGTAGAATTTTATTTTAATGGGAAATATTATTGTATGGCTTCTCCCTGAGTGAGGTGGGAGAAGAGAGGGACTCATGAGACCTATAACACTGATGATGATGATGATGTTACTCTACCTAACCCCTTTAGCATTTAAAAGATGTAATGTAATATATCCATGTTTGTGTATAAATCACAAGCATTTGTAGTTTGGGGAAATCCATTATTGTCATGTGCATTCGTTTTTTTGTTGTTATGAACTTCAATGCCACTGCCCGGTCATTGTTGAATCTCGTACATTCTTTATGAGACTGTAATAAATAGATACCTAGATAACAATGCAAACAGATATTCATTACAATATTTTGTAGTTATTCAAACAGGAGGATTAGTGACTAATGCTTTTGTGTTTTTGTTTAAAATAATTTAAATTCTTTGAAATTGTATTAAGTAACTCATTCTGGCCGATAAGTTACAAGTTGTATTAGTATTCAATTAACAAAATAATTCGATTGAATAAATTAAGTAGATAATAACTCGATATAATTCATATAAATAAACGAAAAATGAGTAACATATTCTCAAACATTTTCAGGTGAGATCTCTGTGCAGAGATTGGTTCCCTATAGAATATCCACAGTCCTGGTATGAGGACATAACATCGTCAGAAAGATTCTTTGCCCTAGCAGCAGTGCACAAAAGTGAGATTATAGGCCTTATTGTGGCAGAAATAAAGCCTTATTTGAAACTGAATGCGGAAGATCGGGGAATACTATCAAGATGGTTTGCATCAAAGGACACACTTGTTGCTTACATACTGTCTTTAGGTATGTGCTCCCATTATATCTGTACTTGTATAACAGTGAAGTCATAGATATTGTAGGGTCATGGTTCATGGACTAGGTTACAGAAAAATGGACTTAATTGCATTATTATAAAGCATAGTAGTAACCAGTTTACAGTTGTTTTACCTGTTGGATTGCTAACAAGACAAGTAATATATGCCAAGCTGCTTATCACAATTAATTCAAGGGTCTAATGACATTCTGTTAAAAAGTTACCAATGTATTCCACACATGGTTGTGAAACTTGGAATTGAAAAATTCTTTAGGAACAAAATAATAATTTCTAGGTACTATGGAAATGCCTCGCAATAGCAGGGGTGTTACGGCAATACCTCGAAATAGCAGGAACTGCATTTTTTTAAATAGTGGTATAATATATTATGTTGTTTAATTGTACTTAATTGGGTACTAAAGTATATAAATACTCAACTATCAAGGTTAACGATTCACTCGCACGCGAAAGTAGTCCTTGATGAAGACTTAATAAGTTTGTATTTTGTGTGATGTAACTGTTGTACAAGGTGTTTATAAATGCAAGACCTTGCAGGTACTGATTCTGGCGTCAAGTTTCGATTGAACTATTTACTCTGATGGTTGAGGTTACTTTAGTATCTAATAACTCAATTAAATATTATGTTACATCTTTATTACCTACTACTACACATGTGACAGAGACCCATGGCAGCATTTTGATAAACCTGAACCCTTAAACTGATTTCCAACCCGTCTGTCGCCTTTGGAGATCATAGCAAACCCTCATGCCTCATGGAGAGAATTTTGATAATTTGTTTTTATGTTTTTATGGTCAGGTTTTCCTACATGTTTTTTTTTCTTATGAAAGACAGAGGCAAGCTTTTAGTACCTCTATAAAAAACCTGTCTCCTACTCTTGTTTATATATTTTTATGGTTGACTTCAGGAGTAGCTCGTTCGTTTCGGCGCTCGGGTGTGGCGACCATGCTCCTGGATGTCCTGATCAACCACCTGGCGGGGCCTGTGCCGCAGCCGCCACATGAGCACCGCGTCAAGGCAATATTCCTGCACGTACTCACAACCAACACAGAGGCTATACTTTTTTATGAACATAGAAGGTGAGTGTCATTGTTATTTCTATAACCGAAAAGACTTTTGGGAGTGAGACAAAAAACAAAGAATTGCTGTCGGTATAAAAAAAATCGTATCGAATATCTCTAAGATTGATGGTTTGTCAATTTGTATATTATTCGATCTATTCTGGATCACATAAAGAATTGTTCTGTGCTGGAAACGAACCAGTAAAACGTTGCGTAGCCATCAATATTGCGCCAATCCCCAGTAAAAGTAATAGAGTCGGTTGTATAAACTTTAAATAAACCATACCATTGCCTACCTAGCTTACTTACTGAAATAGGTACTTGCATATCGTCGGTAGAGTACCAGCAACAATGGTGTATTTATTATTGTTTTTCAAGTTTCCTTAATAAATAAGCATTAATTAATACTTCATAATATAAAACAGCATCATGAAATTTCCCCTAAGGACTTATTAGCTTGTGTAAAGTGTATTAATAGTCAAGTAGGTACCAAGCTACATAGTAATATTCTAAGGAAAAAACAGTGTCAAGTAGGTACGTAATGAATACTTAATTTGCTTTTGGGAATTACTCATGCGCAACGTTCTTGAAAGTCATGATCGATTGTCGATCTGCAGGTAATCTTTTGAAAATTAAATCGTCTGTTTAGTCTGTTACGGTCTCTTTTACCGTGTACATTATAATAACATTGAACGAAATTACGATTGTCTATTAATAAATATTTGCGACATTTTTCTTTATCTCATGTGGAAGTACTAATTTGATGTAAAACATAAGATTGATAAAGTGATGTAACAATGTGACTCAATTATTATTATATCACATTGTTGAAAATAATTATTGTTACAATATCGATACCTACATACTTACTTACCGATATAGATAAATTAGTCAAGTAATGGACCACTACCGACCACGATAATTCTAATTTGACTTTTAAGTCGAATTTATGAGTATTTTTTTATTCAACGTATCGACTTGAATAAAATAATATAAGTACTGTGTGCGTATGTCTTTTACAGATCATCAGTATTGTTATTTAAATAGCCATGGAATGCTTGTTTTATAACCGTTATAGTCCATGAATACCATGGTTAGTCATAAAAACTAGAAATGTCCACATAACAAGGTTGGCGGAAACGTATCTTATCTAAAAATTATCAGTTTATTGTCACATTATACCATACGTATTTTTTTATTCAACGTATCGACTTGAATAAAATAATATAAGTACTGTGTGCGTATGTCTTTTACAGATCATCAGTATTGTTATTTAAATAGCCATGGAATGCTTGTTTTATAACCGTTATAGTCCATGAATACCATGGTTAGTCATAAAAACTAGAAATGTCCACATAACAAGGTTGGCGGAAACGTATCTTATCTAAAAATTATCAGTTTATTGTCACATTATACCATACGTACATATGTACCAACTAACTCGGTTATGGTTAGTTATTTTTGCGACTAATCTGCAAAATATAATTATGTCAAATTAGATTTAACTAATAAGATAATTTTTTGTGTTATAAACTGCGAATAGTTCATTCAAACGTGTCTATTTTTCGATATTAACAGCAATATGCCAGTAGGTACGCATATATGTATAAAATCACTAATGTTCTAAAAAATACTTAATTGGCATTCACAGAAGTACATGGTACAAATATAACACTGAAATTATTGAAAGACCGTCACGAGATGAGGCTGCAGTCTTCAGTTGACATGTCTGGATATGGCAAACTTAATAGGCGAATTTCAAAGTCTATGCGACGCGACCTGCGTGCATATAACGCCGCACGAGTCAGGGATGCCATAGAGCGAAATCAGGGTGCAAAAGTATTCGCAAGGAGTTCGTCGGTTGGGCAAAGCCAAATGACGAAACTGAAGACCGAAAATGGCAGCATCGTTTCGTCGAAGCCAGAGATTCTGAGAGAGCTTGAAAGGTTCTACGGACAGTTATACACCTCGACACGGCAACCCATTGTCGGTACAGCTCGGGATCCAAGAGCTAAACTGACACGGCACTATACCGAGGATATCCCAGACATCAGCCTGTATGAGATTAGGATGGCTCTCAGACAGCTCAAAAATAACAAGGCACCGGGTGATGACGGAATCACAACAGAACTTCTGCGAGCGGGTGGAAAACCGATACTTTTAGTCCTCCAGAAACTATTCAATTCCGTCATTCTCGAAGGAGCTACGCCGAAAGCATGGCAAGAGAGTGTAGTGGTTTTGTTCTTTAAGAAGGGTGACAACTCCTTGTTGAAGAACTATAGACCCATCTCGCTTCTGAGCCATGTATATAAGCTGTTCTCTAGGGTCATCACGAACCGTCTCGAACGCAGATTTGATGACTTCCAGCCTCCCGAACAAGCCGGGTTCCGGAAAGGCTTTAGCACCATAGACCACATTCATACGCTGCGGCAAGTTATACAGAAGACTGAGGAGTATAACTTGCCACTATGCTTGGCGTTCGTGGACTATGAAAAAGCCTTTGATTCGATCGAGACCTGGGCGGTGCTGCAGTCTCTCCAGCGATGCCATATCGACTACAGATATATCGAGGTGCTAAAGTGTTTGTATAGAAACGCCACTATGCGCATCCGACTCCAGGAAGATAGCACGGAACCAATCCAATTGCAGAAAGGCGTGAGACAGGGAGACGTGATTTCTCCGAAACTGTTCACCAACGCATTGGAGGACGTTTTCAAGCTTTTAAACTGGAGTGGACTGGGTATCAATATCAATGGCGAATACATCACACACCTCCGCTTCGCCGATGATGTAGTCATCATGGCGGAATCGCTGGAGGATCTGAACACCATGCTCAGCGACCTCAATATCGTCTCCCAACAGGTGGGTCTTAAAATGAACATGGACAAGACCAAAATCATGTCAAACGTCCATGTTGCACCTGTACCGGTCATCGTTGGGAACGATATCCTCGAAGTTGTAGACCACTATACATACTTAGGGCAGATTATACAGCTAGGTAGGTCCAATTTCGACAAAGAGGTCGCCCGAAGAATCCAACTTGGATGGGCAGCGTTCGGGAAGTTACGCGAAATCTTCTCATCGAAAATCCCTCAGTGCCTAAAGACCAGGATGTTCAACCAGTGTGTGTTGCCGGTGATGACATATGGTACCGAGACGTGGTCCCTGACCTCTGGCCTTCTGGAGAAGCTCAAAGTCGCTCAGCGTGCGATGGAGAGAGCTATGCTCGGGGTTTCTTTGCGCGACAAAATCCGAAATATGGAAATTCGCCAAAGAACAAGAGTTACCGACATAGCTCGCAAAATCTGCAGACTAAAGTGGCAATGGGCAGGCCACGTCGCTCGAAGGACTGACGGCAGATGGGCCAGGAAAGTCCTTGAGTGGAGACCACGGACCGGAAGACGAAGCGTGGGCAGGCCTCCCGCTAGGTGGACCGACGACATCGCCAGAGTTGCGGGGAGCCAGTGGATGCGGGTGGCGAGTTGTCGTTCGACGTGGAGGGCTAAGGGGGAGGCCTTTGTCCAGCAGTGGACGTCTTCCGGCTGTTGATGATGAGTTTCTTGTGGTCTAATTGAATTCTTTGAATTTCAGAAACAATTTCATTCTATTATGACTTTTACTAGTGATAGGAACAATCCAGAAGGTTTCCTATTTGTAGGAATAAAATTCGGTTCAATATTATTCGATGACTACGTTATCTGTCCTATCTTTAATATAAATAATGTTATTTTTTATCTATATCACATCTAATATACTTAGCTCCTTAAACGTTACCATTTTATCTTCAATTTATAGATATTTCACCTATTTTTATCGTATCATTTATCTATGAATCTTGATGTTAGTGTCACCTTGACCTGTATTGCTATAAATTGACAATTACTGAACAAATGTAGTGTATTTTTACGTAACAAAAAATTTGAATATATTTTATTCTAAAGAAGTCTCTGAAATTTATTCTGGCGATTTACCTTGTTACACAATATCCTATTGGCTTAAAATATTATACCAAAGCATTTATTATGAAAAATTCTAGTAAGAGGTGTATTGTTTGTTCGTTAGATTTCGTCTGCACTCGTTTCTGCCGTACTACTACTCGATCAAGGGGCGATGTAAGGACGGGTTCACATACGTGTACTATGTGAACGGCGGGCACGCGCCGTGGGGCCTGTACGACTACGTGAAGTACGTGGCGCGCGCGGCGTGGCGCGGCGGCGGCCTGTACCCGTGGCTGTGGACCAAGCTCCGCACGGCGCTCACCATAGCCTGGCACAGGTAGTCCACCCCGGCGTCGCCGCAGATACTAACGTGTTCGCGTGCACTCCATCTTGTACATACTTGTGTGTGACAGCTCCTTGCCGAGCTCTCGTGCTTCAGTGTAAATGTTGTATCGGGAATTGGATCTATTCCTATGTAAATACCTAGTCCAAACGAAATTTGTATTTGCGATAACGTGTACAACTGGCTGCGTCTGGCATGTGTCTGTGACGTGATTGTATGTGACGTGACGTTTACATCCGCAGGTTCAATGTTCAGTACAGTACCGACTCCTAACTACCTAATTATAGTACACAATGTTTTCGGTAGTTTTAAAACTAGATTTATTTTACCTATCTATCGTTTTGCAAAGCATGTTTTATGATGGACGAAGGTCCGTCGAAGTAAACATACTCGCCCGATATTTTATTTTTCGTACGTGTAACAGGAAAATAGCTGCCGCTATATAAAAGGAATTGTTATTATTAGTATTTAGTTGTTAAGTTAAATATTTTGCATTGTGTTTCTAACTCTACGCATTCCGTGACTATCTCTCATCATGAGCTCGATATATTTGGGAACATTTATTGATTTTGGTTACATTTTGCTACGTTTTCAGAAATTCCCACAAAACGTAGAAGTGCAGTGTGTGCGCAGTGGTTGAACGAGAGAATTTATGAAATATCAATAAGTTATGGATTATTTATAGAGAGCACTGTTTGTTGTTTTATACGTTGACGTGAAGCCAAATTTGATGCAAGTATTTTTGCACAAGTAACAACACACGATGTGCTGGTGACACACGTTTATATGATACGTATCTAGGATAGAGACACCGTACACGAATAAATTCCAGCGACTAAGGTCCCCAATGGACTGTCAATTTGGCTTCATATATTAAACTGACAAAGTTATTTGTGATATTTTTATTACTCAAAGCTTTAAATTTAATAATTCATTGTATTTTCATATTGTGCGAACAAATAATTGACACATTTACACGTAATATTAATTTGGTTCAAATAGTTGCGTTTGGTTGAGTGTTGCGGAGGGCATCGAATGCTACAGAAATATAACAAAGTGCCACGTGCCATGATATACTGCCAAGATTACTAAAGTAAGGTGCCTGTGTGTTCAATGTAAGTAATGTACGGATAAACAATAATATTGTAACAATAACATTTATTTACGCAATATGTGCAATACCTGTATCGGCTATGAGAGCAATGCTAACGGAGAGATCGCTACGAGGTCGGGGCAGGTATCAGCGCAATTCAGATCACCAACCTTATTAGGTTTTGTACAAATAAGAGTCGTGTGACTTTGACTTAAGATTCTTTTCAAATTTAATTATTTCAAGATAAACAGACTATGGTGTGTAAACACCGTCGTCATAATAATTTATTTTGAGAGTTGTTTAAATGCTCAGTTAGTCTTTTCTAAGCACTAACACTAATTGAGCAGATACGAATTCAAACCATACTAACTAATGATGCCCTTTCAATCATTATTGAAAGGAAATAACTGCTACAATTTAAATTATTTCTAAAGAGAAATTTATTAAAAAGTTAATATGACGAAAGCGCTCTAAAAGCGTTTGTTGAGCATGAACCTAGGTTATTTAGGAATGCAACATTTATTTTTTTATTTGTTTTACTTATAAAATGTATATCCGTCCCGAATAAAAAATAATGTACAATATTAATTAAAGTCACAAAGTAAAAATAAATATATTATTATTTATGTGATGACTTCTAAAATATATTAATATACAATACATTGCATACATAATCATTAATAAAGACGCTCTGTATATAACGGAGTCATGGTTTATTGATTTCGATATTGTAGACCTTTGACATTAGCTCAGTCACATGACGCAAATAATAAGTAGGTACCAAGATTATACTGGGTAATATTAATCAGACCCAATATATTTATGTATTATCCCAGTAATATTAAACATGCGAAAATTTGTGAGTATATGTGGATTGATGGAATCTGAATAGAATTTGGCACTGGGATTATAGTTAATCTGAAATGATACGTTGGGTTTATTTTACTCTGGTAACACGAGCAAAACCACAAGCAGAAGGGAGTTGAATATACAACACTCCATGGCTTATCCTGCAAGCCTAATGAACCTTACAATGGCAAGGCATCCATTTTAATATTACGTTTAGTAAAATTGATTCTATTTCTTATTAAAAAAAAAAAAATCCGCCTCCTAAAAAAGGATGGTTTTCGTAAAGTACATATTTTATAGTATATTTTTTTAGTTTGATGTTGAAAACAAAGTACAATAAAGCAGGTTTCTCGATAATTTATAAAAAAAAAATACATTTTTATTTTATTATAGAACACAGTTTTCATTGATCTGAATTGGAAGGGCTGATATCTGTTTGTACCCCGAGAAGAACGTCCATTGTATAAATGTACTGTAATACTACACAACACGTTAGAGTTTTCTTTAGATTACTGTAAATTAAATGTTCTAGTGGTTTATGTAAATAGTTTTAACGAAATAATTATATATAGGCATGTATGTACAGATTAAATAAGACGAATTTAATATATTATCAAAAAGGCTGTCGTATTATTTCACGTGCCTACTTGTCTAAGTTTTGTGAAGTATTAAAGTAAGATCGAGACATTACGCAGTTTCTTTGAATGAATATTTAGCTTGACCTGTCTCTCCGATACATGGCATTGATTACAATCATTGTGAGCGCTAGGGAGCCTTTTCTCTCTAGAGCTTTTAAGTAAATTTACACTACCTAGCCGATAATGGTTTTTATTAAAGTTTCTGTCAACTCTGTCGTGTATATTTTGGGCACAGAACAATGGATTTCTGCATTCAGTCACCCCAGTGTACGTAGTTTAATGAATGTACTCACATGAACCAAAGTATTTTAATGTCTTAGTTTTGTTATCACTCACTCACTCGATGTTTTATTATTTTTAATAATTAAGTATTAATCAAATTAATGTTTATCGTCTATGTGACAATTGAGTATTATTATTTGGACCATTTTTTAAATTATTTCTATATTTATTTAAATTCTAAAAGCAGTCATGATAGTTGATTACGTGTCTAACGTTGTAATTTGTGATATTATCATCGTTTAGATTGTTTCGAGGTATTTTCTAAAGTTTTGCAAAATTGTAATAATAAGGTCGACATTTGTGTGTTAACTGTCCTTTTCTATAATATAGCACGTTCCTAATGTTAAAATGGAAAATTTTACGTTATAATTCTATGTTTAATACTCTAAAATAGAATATATTTTAGCTTCCAAATAAATATCATTGTTGACTAATAATAGTATTTTCGTTTATGTACCCAGTTACCTCATCTCTTCGTAAGGCTTTAAAGGAAACATTCAGTAACAATTTCAGAAAATGTTTAATTTTAATAATTGCTTCATTTTTCATCAACTATGCTGTACAAACTATATCGCTTACATTAGAATTAGCAATTAATAATTGCACGTAAAAAAACTTAACAAATAGGTTTCTTCAACTTTTCGATTGGAATGAACGATTATTACAATAAGTAATATTTTTTACAATATTTATAACTCTACAAAATGAAAATCTATTCAACAAGCAGTCACAATCGCCCAATGATATGTTAAAATTATTTGTATATAATTTTAATGTTATTGCATTCTAAGTATTAAAGTTCGCTTCGTGTGTGGGGCGTGGCGAGTGTCCGCGTGTCTACTAGGGTCAGTGGCCCGCCTGGCGCGTCAAGCAAGAAGCGCCCTCTACACACTACGTTACTAGGTTGTCCCTCTCTGAAGCGCCGCCCTTGTGGTTCTGGCCTTTGAAGTCTTTCAATCTAATCGGCGACGACTCGCTGCCAGAATCGCCCTGAAACATATTATCGACACATATTACTAAGGTCAGACAATCGCCTTTATAACTCTCCCCATTTCGACTTGAGGACCCATAAAAGTTAGCCCTGTAGGTACCTAAAGTTAGTAGACACCAATTAGAATATTTATAGGTATTCATTACTACACTTTATTTTATTAAACAGTAACACAATAAAGAGTACGTACGTTGGCACCGAGCGAGGTAGTCTCCTGGAGTAACAGCTCGCTGTCGGTGCCTCGTGACTCCTTATTCTTGAGAATGGAGCGTGAGCGCGAGTCGCCCTCTAGCGGCCAGCCGCCGCCGCGTTTGTTTCCGTTCTTACCTATACAAATTCGCGCAAAACAATATCAATAAGTTTCCAAATACATGACATCTCCAGAATTTCAACCATCCTTCTATTAGAACCATCATCATGTCAGACACAAGACGGCCACTGCTAAACATAGGCCTCCCCAATGACTTTCAGATTGGCCGGTTAGAAGCACCCTGCATCCTATCAATCTTTTGCTAAATTCAAAAAATAGTTAGGTACCATTATTGCCCTTAATATAGACGCGCAGTTAAATTACAATAAAACATGATGATTGTTACGAGTAATCAAACCACAAACCAAACATATTCAGGTTAGGGAGTCGGTAATGTAATGTAAATGATGGGTACGTAATAAGCTTGCAACTATTATCTTTGGACCCTCTCCCAGCCTATCATCAGCCAACTACATGTTCCTCCTATCTATCCTTTGATATAGAGAAGCAATTCGTTCATGGAACTACCGGCGAACCGCGTAAGCAAAGCCCAGATTAGCTTATTCAACCTAGTAAATTGTTCTCTTGCTTGCCTCGATTTTTAGAATCGAATCATCTTGTTGCATGTAATTTAGTTTAGGCTGTGTGTTTTGTCTCGTATCTAGGATATTTTCAGTATAGTTACTTTACAGCGCTTTGATTATGTAAGAGTTGGTATGTATCTAATAGCTTACGTATACAATAACGTATTTAAAATGAGACGAACCAAAAAGGATGTGATGATTAATTATCCTCGTAGCTATCCCTCTCGGTGGCTTCCTCTCTTCCTCCGTCCAGTCCTGTGGGACAAACGATCATGTTCGTGTTACCCACATGACCTTAGAAATAAGCGTAGTTAAAGTATGAAGGCCATGACAACTCGTGCAGTTAGTACATTGAAGTATTAGTCAAACTATACACAGCTACATCATGCAAACATGACGTACAAGGTTGGGAAGACGCGAACATTGGGACACACTACCGAACCATTCATAAAAGCTCTGCGTGTGAAGTCGGTGAGCGGCGCTGCGGGTCGCTGTCGCTCACCTGTTGGAAGCGGGCCTTTCTGTGTTTGGGCTTGGCGTCGTCAGCGACAGGGGGCGCGTCATCCAACTGCTGCGGTAGGCTGGTGCGAGACGCGTCCAGCGGCCTTGCGATGGACACCGCGCCCGCAGCCGGCAAGGCCCCCGCGCCCGACAGGCTGACCCGAGACCCTCGCGGCGACCCTTCGCCCTGTGAACCTTTGGCACACAACACGCTTCCATCCCCAGATGCACTCCTGCGCACTCCGTTAAATTCGGCACTGACCCCGCCCCCACCCCCACCCGCTCTGCCACCGCCGCTACCATCCAGAGGATTCACATACAAGTTTGATGAGTCGTTCTCGCATGCGATGTCGCCCTCTGAAGGAAAAGGGTGCGTAAGGCATGATGCAAATGTATCTGTAACGTAAGACATAATACGCACATGGAGCCGCACACCACCAGGTACGGCGTATGCTGCTCGCACACATATACAGTAGGTACGTATGGTTACAATATAGTGGGTACACATACATATGTGCCGAAAGGACATCGACATTACGACAGTGAACGAACAAGGACAAGATAGTGGTAATAATTTAATTTAATCTACGCCTACGGGTTGATAACACTTAAAAAACATTAACACAAATCTAAATGTAGAAACTATCTATGCATCTTGTAAACAACAGAAATAAGTTTAATGAATGCATTTAACGCGTTAAAGTAGTTCTCGGTGTCTTGGTATACTGTCTAAGTCTGTTGTTTACAATATTTAGACAAATTTGTAATGTTTAGTACCTGGGCTGTCGAGACTATTGGGGGTGGCTTCGGGCAGAGCTTTGGGCGCAGGATGCCGTTGCAAGCACGCCAGTTCGACGCACACCGGCTGCCGCAGGTCTGACGTCGACATCGGCATCAGCTGCTCGGCGTCGATGAACTCCTTGTACCCCTACACCAAGGTGTATAACGAACCATCAATTCCAATTACAAATAAATTACCATATGTAAGTAGAACTATAGTAATTGAAGTTATTTTAACGTTTTCATTTAAATATATGATATATGTAATACATAAATAACTTAAGGTTTCCTAACAAAGACTTTTATTTTAGACCCCAACAAATAGATAAGTATTGATTTCCCAAGTAGATAGGTAGGTAAGTTTGACGGCAGTTACCTTCATGTATCCTATGTTAATAAAATGATTAGCTGCAAACATATAATTAAACCGAGCAAAATCATACAAACCTACGGATGGGCAATTCTTACACAAATCTAAAATAATAAGTAAGTAAATACTTACAGGTTAATGCTAAATGGAAATATTATTATTATTAGTATTTAACAGGTACACCAAATAATAACAAAAATCGCATAATTACATAATAATAAGGCGTCTACAAGTCATGAATGAGTTAGTATCTTAGTACCTTGAACGTGCAAAAACAACATTCAAACTCAGAAGGCAGCTGATCCAAGTCAAGCTGTTTGTCAGCCATCTTCTTTTCCTAGAA